AAGAAAGAAAGAAAAAGACAAATGAAAAAGAAGTATCAAACAAAAAAGAACATTATACACTCTAGTACAAATGTCAAAGAAAGAAAGAAAGAAAGAAAGAAAGAAAGAAAGAAAAAGACAAATGAAAAAGAAGTATCAAACAAAAAAGAACATTATACACTCTAGTACAAATGTCAAAGAAAGAAAGAAAGAAAGAAAGAAAGAAAGAAAGAAAGAAAGAAAGAAAGAAAGAAAGAAAAAGAAAATGAAAAGAAGTATCAAACAAAAAAAGAACATTATACACTCTAGTACAAAATGTCAAAGAAAGAAAGAAAGAAAAGAAAGAAAGAAAAAAGAAAGAAAGAAAGAAAGAAAAGAAAGAAAAAAGAAAACCAAAAAAGAAGTATCAAACAAAAAAGAACATTATACACTCTAGTACAAATGTCAAAGAAAGAAAGAAAGAAAGAAAGAAAGAAAGAAAAAAGAAAGAAAGAAAGAAAGAAAAGAAAAGACAAATGAAAAGAAGTATCAAAAAAAAAAAGAACATTATACACTCTAGTACAAATGTCAAAGAAAGAAAGAAAAGAAAGAAAAGAAAGAAAAGAAAGAAAGAAAGAAAGAAAAGACAAATGAAAAGAAGTATCAAAAAAAAAGAACATTATAACTCTAGTACAAATGTCAAAGAAAGAAAGAAAGAAAGAAAGAAAGAAAAAAGAAAGAAAGAAAAGAAAAGACAAATGAAAAGAAGTATCAAACAAAAAAGAACATTATACACTCTAGTACAAATGTCAAAGAAAGAAAGAAAGAAAAGAAAGAAAGAAAGAAAGAAAGAAAGAAAAAAGACAAATGAAAAGAAGTATCAAACAAAAAAGAACATTATACACTCTAGTACAAATGTCAAAGAAAGAAAGAAAGAAAGAAAGAAAGAAAGAAAGAAAGAAAGAAAGAAAGTATCAAACAAAAAGAAACATTAAAAGACAAATGAAAAAGAAGTATCAAAAAAAAAAGAACATTATACACTCTAGTACAAATGTCAAAGAAAGAAAGAAAGAAAGAAAGAAAGAAAGAAAGAAAGAAAAGAACAAATGAAAAAGACAAAATGAAAAAAGAAGTATCAAAAAAAGAACATTATAATAGTACAAATGTCAAAGAAAGAAAGAAAGAAAGAAAAAAAGAAAGAAAAAGAAAGAAAGAAAGAAAGAAAGAAAGAAAGAAAGAAAGAAAAAAAAGACAAATGAAAAAGAAGTGAAAATCAAACAAAAAGAATTATAAATGTCAAAGAAAGAAAGAAAGAAAAAAGAAAAGAAAAAAGAAAGAAAGAAAGAAAAGACAAATGAAAAAAAGAAAAGAAAGTAAAAAAAGAAAGAAAGAAAGAAAGAAAGAAAGAAAAAGACAAATGAAAAAGAAGTATCAAAAAAAAAAAGAACATTATACACTCTAGTACAAATGTCAAAGAAAGAAAGAAAGAAAGAAAGAAAGAAAGAAAAAGAAAAAGACAAATGAAAAAGAAGTATCAAAACAAAAAAAGAACATTATACACTCTAGTACAAATGTCAAAGAAAGAAAGAAAGAAAGAAAGAAAGAAAAGAAAGAAAGAAAGAAAAAGACAAATGAAAAATCAAACAAAAAGAACATTATACACTCTAGTACAAATGTCAAAGAAAGAAAGAAAGAAAGAAAGAAAGAAAGAAAGAAAGAAAAAGACAAATGAAAAAGAAGTATCAAACAAAAAAGAACATTATACACTCTAGTACAAATGTCAAAGAAAGAAAGAAAGAAAGAAAGAAAGAAAGAAAGAAAGAAAAAAGAAAAGACAAATGAAAAGAAGTATCAAACAAAAAGAACATTATACACTCTAGTACAAATGTCAAAGAAAGAAAGAAAGAAAAGAAAGAAAGAAAGAAAGAAAAAGACAAATGAAAAAGAAGTATCAAACAAAAAGAACATTATACACTCTAGTACAAATGTCAAAGAAAAAGAAAGAAAGAAAGAAAGAAAGAAAGAAAGAAAGAAAGCATCAAACAAAAAAGACAAATGAAAAAAGAAAGAAAAGAAGAAAAAAAAAGAAAAAATTAAGACAAATGAAAAAGAAGCATCAAAACAAAAAAAGAAAATGTCTAGTACAAGAAAAGAAAGAAAGAAAGAAAGAAAGAAAAGAAAGAAAGAAAGAAAGAAAGAAAAGAAAATGAAAAAGAAGTATCAAAAAAAAAGAACATTATACACTCTAGTACAAAATGTCAAAAAGAAAGAAAGAAAAAAAAGAAAAGAAAGAAAGAAAGAAAGAAAAAGAAAAAGAAATGAAAAAAAGTATCAAATAAAAAAGAACATTATACACTCTAGTACAAAATCAAAGAAAGAAAGAAAGAAAGAAAGAAAGTAAAAAACAAAAAAAGAAGTATCAAACAAAAAAAGAAATATTATACACTCTAGTACAAATGTCAAAGAAAGAAAGAAAGAAAGAAAGAAAGAAAGAAAGAAAAAGAAAGAAAGAAAGAAAGAAAAAGACAAATGAAAAAAGAAGTATCAAACAAAAAGAACATTATACACTCTAGTACAAATGTCAAAGAAAGAAAGAAAGAAAGAAAGAAAGAAAGAAAGAAAGAAAGAAAGAAAGAAAGAAAAGACAAATGAAAAGAAGTATCAAACAAAAAGAACATTATACACTCTAGTACAAAATGTCAAAGAAAGAAAGAAAGAAAGAAAGAAAGAAAGAAAGAAAGAAAAGACAAATGAAAAAAGAAGTATCAAAAAAAAAAAGAACATTATACACTCTAGTACAAATGTCAAAGAAAGAAAGAAAGAAAGAAAGAAAGAAAGAAAAAGAAAGAAAGAAAAAAAAGACAAATGAAAAAGAAGTATCAAACAAAAAGAACATTATACACTCTAGTACAAATGTCAAAGAAAGAAAGAAAGAAAGAAAGAAAAGAAAAGAAAGAAAGAAAGAAAGAAAAGACAAATGAAAAAGAAGTATCAAACAAAAAAGAACATTATACACTCTAGTACAAATGTCAAAGAAAGAAAGAAAGAAAGAAAGAAAGAAAGAAAGAAAAGAAAAAAAAGACAAAATGAAAAGAAATCAAAAAAAAAGAACATTAAACTCTAGTACAAAATGTCAAAAAAGAAAGAAAGAAAGAAAGAAAAAAAGAAAGAAAGAAAGAAAGAAAAGACAATGAAAAAGAAATATCAAAGAAAAAAAGAAAATACACTCTAGTACAAAAAGAAAGAAAGAAAGAAAGAAAGAAAGAAAGAAAGAAAAGACAAATGAAAAAGAAGTATCAAACAAAAAAAGAACATTATACACTCTAGTACAAATGTCAAAGAAAGAAAGAAAGAAAGAAAGAAAGAAAAAGAAAAGACAAAAGAAAGAAAGAAACAAAAAAAACATTATAAAAGTACAAATGAAAAGAAAGAAAGAAAGAAAGAAAGAAAGAAAAAGAAAAAAGAAAGAAAAAGACAAATGAAAAGAAGTATCAAAAAAAAAAGAAAATAAAGTACAAAGTCAAAGAAAGAAAGAAAGAAAGAAAGAAAGAAAGAAAAAGACAAATGAAAAAGAAGTATCAAACAAAAAAGAACATTATACACTCTAGTACAAATGTCAAAGAAAGAAAGAAAGAAAGAAAGAAAGAAAGAAAGAAAGAAAGAAAAAGACAAATGAAAAAGAAGTATCAAAAAAAAAAAAAGAACATTATAACTCTAGTACAAATGTCAAAGAAAGAAAGAAAGAAAGAAAGAAAGAAAGAAAAGAAAGAAAGAAAAAGACAAATGAAAAGAAGTATCAAACAAAAAAAGAACATTATACACTCTAGTACAAATGTCAAAAGAAAGAAAGAAAGAAAGAAAGAAAGAAAGAAAGAAAGAAAGAAAAAAGACAAATGAAAAAGAAGTATCAAACAAAAAAGAACATTATACACTCTAGTACAAAATGTCAAAGAAAAAGAAAGAAAGAAAGAAAGAAAGAAAGAAAGAAAGAAAGAAAAAAGAAAGAAATGAAAAGAAGTATCAACAAAAAAGAACATTATACACTCTAGTACAAATGTCAAAGAAAGAAAGAAAGAAAGAAAGAAAGAAAGAAAGAAAAAAAAGACAAATGAAAAAGAAGTATCAAACAAAAAAGAACATTATACACTCTAGTACAAATGTCAAAGAAAGAAAGAAAGAAAGAAAGAAAGAAAGAAAGAAAGAAAGAAAGAAAGAAAGAAAGAAAAAGACAAATGAAAAAGAAGTATCAAACAAAAAAGAACATTATACACTCTAGTACAAATGTCAAAGAAAGAAAGAAAGAAAGAAAGAAAGAAAGAAAGAAAGAAAGAAAGAAAAAGACAAATGAAAAAGAAGTATCAAACAAAAAAGAACATTATACACTCTAGTACAAATGTCAAAGAAAGAAAGAAAGAAAGAAAGAAAGAAAAAGAAAGAAAGAAAGAAAGAAAGAAAGAAAAGACAAAATGAAAAAGAAGTATCAAACAAAAAGAACATTATACACTCTAGTACAAATCAAAGAAAAGAAAGAAAGAAAGAAAGAAAGAAAGAAAGAAAGAAAGAAAGAAAGAAAGAAAAAGACAAATGAAAAAGAAGTATCAAACAAAAAAGAACATTATACACTCTAGTACAAATGTCAAAGAAAGAAAGAAAGAAAGAAAGAAAGAAAAAGTGAAAAGAAGTATCAAAAAAAAAAAAACATTATACACTCTAGTACAAATGAAAGAAAGAAAGAAAGAAAGAAAGAAAAGAAAGAAAAAAGAAAAAAGACAAATGAAAAGAAGTATCAAAAAAAAAAAGAACATTATACACTCTAGTACAAAATGTCAAAGAAAGAAAGAAAGAAAGAAAGAAAGAAAGAAAGAAAGAAAGAAAAAGACAAATGAAAAAGAAGTATCAAACAAAAAAGAACATTATACACTCTAGTACAAATGTCAAAGAAAGAAAGAAAGAAAGAAAGAAAGAAAGAAAGAAAGAAAGAAAAAGACAAATGAAAAAGAAGTATCAAACAAAAAAGAACATTATACACTCTAGTACAAATGTCAAAGAAAGAAAGAAAGAAAGAAAGAAAGAAAGAAAGAAAGAAAGAAAGAAAAAGACAAATGAAAAAGAAGTATCAAACAAAAAAGAACATTATACACTCTAGTACAAATGTCAAAGAAAGAAAGAAAGAAAGAAAGAAAGAAAGAAAGAAAGAAAGAAAGAAAGAAAGAAAAAGACAAATGAAAAAGAAGTATCAAACAAAAAAGAACATTATACACTCTAGTACAAATGTCAAAGAAAGAAAGAAAGAAAGAAAGAAAAGAAAGAAAAGAAAGAAAGAAAAGACAAATGAAAAAGAAGTATCAAACAAAAAAGAACATTATACACTCTAGTACAAATGTCAAAGAAAGAAAGAAAGAAAGAAAGAAAGAAAGAAAGAAAGAAAAAGACAAATGAAAAAGAAGTATCAAACAAAAAAGAACATTATACACTCTAGTACAAATGTCAAAAGAAAGAAAGAAAGAAAGAAAGAAAGAAAGAAAAAGAAAGAAAGAAAGAAAGAAAGAAAGAAAAGACAAATGAAAAAGAAGTATCAAACAAAAAGAACATTATACACTCTAGTACAAATGTCAAAGAAAAGAAAGAAAGAAAGAAAGAAAGAAAGAAAGAAAAGAAAGAAAGAAAGAAAAGACAAATGAAAAAGAAGTATCAAACAAAAAAGAACATTATACACTCTAGTACAAATGTCAAAGAAAGAAAGAAAAGAAAGAAAGAAAGAAAGAAAGAAAGAAAAGAAAAATGAAAAAGAAGTATCAAACAAAAAAAGAACATTATACACTCTAGTACAAATGTCAAAGAAAGAAAGAAAAAAGAAAGAAAGAAAGAAAGAAAAAAGAAAGAAAGAAAAAAAAGAAAATTAAAAAAGAAGTACAAAAAAAAAGAAATTATAACCTAGTACAAAGTCAAAGAAAGAAAGAAAGAAAGAAAGAAAGAAAGAAAGAAAGAAAGAAAGAAAAAGACAAAATGAAAAAGAAGTATCAAAAAAAAGAACATTATACACTCTAGTACAAAAATGTCAAAGAAAGAAAGAAAAAAGAAAGAAAGAAAAGACAAAGAAAAGAAGTATCAAAACAAAAAGAACATTAAAGAGAACAAATGTCAAAGAAAGAAAGAAAGAAAGAAAGAAAGAAAGAAAGAAAGAAAAAAAGAAAGAAAAGACAAATGAAAAGAAGTATCAAACAAAAAGAACATTATACACTCTAGTACAAATGTCAAAGAAAGAAAGAAAGAAAGAAAGAAAGAAAGAAAGAAAAAGACAAATGAAAAAGAAGTATCAAACAAAAAAGAACATTATACACTCTAGTACAAATGTCAAAGAAAGAAAGAAAGAAAGAAAGAAAGAAAAAGACAAATGAAAAAGAAGTATCAAACAAAAAAGAACATTATACACTCTAGTACAAATGTCAAAGAAAGAAAGAAAGAAAGAAAGAAAGAAAGAAAGAAAGAAAGAAAGAAAAAGACAAATGAAAAAGAAGTATCAAACAAAAAAGAACATTATACACTCTAGTACAAAATGTCAAAGAAAGAAAGAAAGAAAGAAAGAAAGAAAGAAAGAAAAGACAAATGAAAAAGAAATCAAAAAAAAAATAACATTATACACTCTAGTACAAATGTCAAAGAAAGAAAGAAAGAAAGAAAGAAAGAAAGAAAGAAAGAAAGAAAAAGACAAATGAAAAAGAAGTATCAAACAAAAAAGAACATTATACATCTAATTAGTACAAATGTCAAAGAAAGAAAAGAAAGAAAGAAAGAAAGAAAGAAAGAAAGAAAGAAAGAAAAGACAAATGAAAAAAGAAGTATCAAACAAAAAAGAACATTATACACTCTAGTACAAATGTCAAAGAAAAAAGAAAGAAAGAAAGAAAGAAAGAAAGAAAGAAAGAAAGAAAGAAAAAGAAAATGAAAAAGAAGTATCAAACAAAAAAAGAACATTATACACTCTAGTACAAATGTCAAAGAAAGAAAGAAAGAAAGAAAGAAAAAGACAAAGAAAAGAAGTATCAAACAAAAAAAAAGAACATTATAACTCTAGTACAAAATGTCAAAGAAAGAAAGAAAGAAAGAAAGAAAGAAAGAAAGAAAGAAAAGACAAATGAAAAAGAAGTATCAAACAAAAAAAAGAACATTATACACTCTAGTACAAATGTCAAAGAAAGAAAGAAAGAAAGAAAGAAAGAAAGAAAGAAAAGAAAAATGAAAAAGAAGTATCAAAAAAAAAAAAGAACATTATAACTCTAGTACAAATGTCAAAGAAAGAAAGAAAGAAAGAAAAAGAAAGAAAAAAGAAAAAAGACAAAAAAAGAAGTATCAAACAAAAAAGAACATTATACACTCTAGTACAAATGTCAAAGAAAGAAAGAAAGAAAGAAAGAAAGAAAGAAAGAAAGAAAGAAAAAGACAAATGAAAAAGAAGTATCAAACAAAAAAGAACATTATACACTCTAGTACAAATGTCAAAGAAAGAAAGAAAGAAAGAAAGAAAGAAAGAAAGAAAGAAAGAAAAAGACAAATGAAAAAGAAGTATCAAACAAAAAAGAACATTATACACTCTAGTACAAATGTCAAAGAAAGAAAGAAAGAAAGAAAGAAAGAAAGAAAGAAAGAAAGAAAGAAAGAAAAAGACAAATGAAAAAGAAGTATCAAAAAAAAAAAGAACATTATACACTCTAGTACAAAAATGTCAAAGAAAGAAAGAAAGAAAGAAAGAAAGAAAGAAAGAAAGAAAGAAAAGACAAATGAAAAGAAGTATCAAACAAAAAAAGAAAATTATACACTCTAGTACAAATGTCAAAGAAAGAAAGAAAGAAAGAAAGAAAGAAAGAAAGAAAGAAAGAAAGAAAGAAAAAAAAGACAAATGAAAAGAAGTATCAAACAAAAAAAAGAACATTATACACTCTAGTACAAATGTCAAAGAAAGAAAAGAAAGAAAGAAAGAAAGAAAGAAAGAAAGAAAGAAAAGAAAGAAAAAGACAAATGAAAAAGAAACAATCAACAAAAAAGAACATTATACACTCTAGTACAAATGTCAAAGAAAGAATGAAAGAAAGAAAGAAAGAAAGAAAGAAAGAAAGAAAGAAAGAAAGAAAGAAAAAGATGACAATGAAACAAGGAAATAGACCAGAAAAGATTTTAAAAAGCATTATCAGAAAAAAGAAAGAAAGAAAAAAGAAAGGAAAAAGGTAAAACTGATTAAGGCAGAACTAAAAAAGATAAAACAGATTAAGAAAGAAAGAAAAAAGAAAAAGAAAGAAAGAAAGAGTGTGTAAGGAACAAACAAAGAAAGAGTGCGTAAGAAAGAAAGAGTGCGTAAGAAAGAAAGAAAAAAAGAAAGAAAGAAAGAAAGAAAGAAAGAAAGAAAAAGAAAAAAGAAAAGATAGAATCAAATAAAGGAACAAAGAAATAGAACATTAAAAATTTAAAAAGCTTTCTAAGAAAGAAAGAAAGAAAGAATGTAAATGATGGAAAGTCAGAAACAAAGAATCACATGAATATTCAAAATTCTTCTACATGCTGAGAATAATTTGTCTCGCAAGTACAATTACGTTTGAGCAGTGAGTTCAATCCTCACTGGGTGCCACATACTTTCGGCCTTGTGCAACATCTAAGCTACGCTTAGAAAATCACGATAAAGAATACTTATTTTTTCCTCAACTCAAACCCCGGCTAGTGTCACAGAAATTTAACATGGGACCGTTGCATGAATTTAACTTTAACAAGAGAGCTCTCAATAGTAAGAAGATTGTATTGCGCCAATCTCTTTAATAGAAAAAGAAGCTGTTTGCTTTGAAAAGCAGCACTCGAAATTTTAACTTTAAACAGAGTTTGTATTCTGAAAACAAATACCGAAGGGAACAAAATCGTCATTATTTCTTGTGCGAATCAAACCAAGGCAGTTTTTTTTTTTTTTGTAGCCGATGATTTTACAACTACGCGAATGTACAAACATAAGAGGGCTGTCTTTTGACAGAACGCAAACACTGACTTGTGTTACTGGGTCGCCCAGTACAAAAAAAAAAACCGCAGACATACGCGACAAAGCGGACATATTGCTGAAGACTGATTAATAATTGTAAGTAGCGCTATAGGTTTCAAAACAGATATTTTTAAAAGTACATCATTCATATAAAATATATAGGAATATCTTCCCCTTCTATCTGCCTCTTAAGGTAGCACTCTACCTCGAGTGGCACCCGGGGCCTTATACAGGGTGAACGTTGCAAAAAATATACAAATGAGGTCGAGTAAGGAAAAAATAAGCTATCATAAAACAGCAAGATAAACAAGAAAATATCACTATTTACATTATTCGGGCTATTATCCTCATCTTTGTTGTCATATTTATCACAACGTTTCGGCCGTTGTACGCTCCGGACTTCTTCAGGTGGTTGGAATGTCGAACTGAACCCTTTATTTCGCTCGCTGGGGTAGACTGTTCTAGTTCCACGTGCCATGTCTAATGGATGTCAGTTATCAGCTATCTCCTGTTAATTCACCTCTCCAAGTTCTCCACTGCCTTAAGCAGATATTGAACTCACAACTCTTTGGGTCCTTTCACTGGATCTAACCAACGCCTTTATCCACTGTGCCATGTGTCCTTAAGGATAAAAATCCAAGGGATCTGCAATGTAATCGATCCTGACCTGGCATCTCGACTTTAGTCACTTTCTCATAAACGTGATGCGGCTCCCCTGTGTGATTTCTACAAATCTTTTCATGGCAACCATTCTATCAAGCTTCTTCCTTGGTGCTTCGACTGCATAAATTAAACGTGCTACTAGATTGGCAATTAGGTCCCACCCTTTTACCATTGAAATAGTTAAATATAACCGTCAACAGCTTCTTTCCTTGCACTTCCCGCCTGTGCAACTCCCTTCCGTTTCCTTGCTTCACTGATAATTACAATCTTCAAACATTTAAATGTAATGTCAATCACCATCTTCTGATGTCTTGAACCCCCGCGCATCTTTTATCTTTTCCTCTTACCTCTATACACTTTTTTTCACACTTTGTAACACACTGCGAACCAGTGGTACTCCCGCCTTACCTGGGAGGAAACCTTATATATATATATATATATATATATATATATATATATATATATATATATATATATATATATATATATATATATATATACTTATATATATATTTATATATATATATATATATATATATATATGGGTACCTGTATGAATGATTGCACTTGTAAAGGAACGTATGTATGTGTGAGATTTACATGGGTGTATATTCAGTATATGACAGAGCAAGATATTACCTTCAAATATTACTCCATATTAACTTAACTAAACTTTAAGTAAAAGAGATTACCCATCTAGAAACAGTCACGAGTTAAATTCATGACCAAAATTCAAACGGATAGAGATGTCAACTTAATAATCAATAATAATTTTTTAAAAAATAAAGAAGATTACTAGAAGTAAACTTATATTCTAAATTAAAAGTTTTATTATTTTAATGTACTTTCTATTAATATTTTTTCTAATTTCATAGAAAATCCCCAACATTTAAAAAAAATATTTAAATCACTAACAAACATCAAAGTAAATTCTTTGCAGACAGTTTAGACATTCAAATTTATATCAAAAATTATAATCCTTATGAACCCCCAAAATAACACTTTCAAAGTAAAGCAAAATGACAGCGTCTTTTTCGAGCCTGTTTCTTTCCAAAGAAAATTAGTGACACCTTCTCTCATGATTCCTTCTCTCTTTTTCTTGTTATGTCTTTTTTTCGCCTCTACCCCTTCTATATCAATATATAACTTCCGTTAAGTTAACCGTTTAAATGTGTCAATGTCTGGACCTACTCAAATAATTTTAAGTATGAAAGAAGAGAAATATTAAATTACATCTAACTCACTCATGACTTCTCTCTCCCCCCCTCACTTCGTTAATTTACATATGCGTAATACGGCCCGTCAGAAATGTGTAAATTTCTTTTCATTTTTCGTTTCAAACTTTGGAAGTAAAGTC